AGGAGTCGATGTGGGTGTGAGCCGAGGTTGTGGCCGAAAAGTCAAGGGCAAAATGTTGGTGGCACCCTGAGGGTTCCGTGTGAGCAGAAGCGTAGGCGGCGGCATTTCTCAACCCGAAAGGGTATGGAGATGGGGCCATCGCCGGGCCCTGCTCCGCCGGAGTTGGCTCCTCAGGGGGGTGGCGGTGTGGAACTTGACGACGGGGCGTCGCTGCACGTCACCGGTGTCTTTCCCCTGCCCAAGCTTAGGCCAGACAGGTCCCCAACCAGGGACCTCGTACCAACAGCCGGGCACGGGATACCGGCGGAGCGCGGCGCGTCGCCCCGAGGTCGTGCGGTGTAAGGATGATCCTGCTCGCGCCGTGCCTGGCGAGCGTGACGAGAGCGGCGGCCCGGGCGCCGCCTGCGCCCGGGCTGCTGGTGCGCGACGCCGTCGTCAGCCAAAGGGGCTCTGGGTGGGAGGAGTACTAGGTCGTACTCACGTCCTAGAGATATGAACTCTAGGCTCCCGAACCAGATCACCGTGCTGAGACATAGTAGGCGTATGGGGTCAGCCATCCGGAACTTGTTGGGACGATCAAGCTAACATGCAGAGGCCCCTACCTGGCGCGCCAACTGTCGGTGTTTTGGACCAGGGGGTCCTCAACCAACTAGTAAATGTGAACTGTGTGCCCCTAATCCTGGATGGTGATGCAAAGAGACACAAGGTTTACACTGGTTCAGGCAATCGGTGCCCTACGTCCAGTCTGAGGGATCGATCTTGTATTCCTTGCACCGAAGTGCTTGTAGTAGGGGTTACAAGCTGGGTGAGAGAGGGAGCTAGTCTCAGGTCTCGGCGTGGAGCGGTGCGGGCTGCTTGAGTCGTTGCTCTCAGGCAGTGGGAGAGTGTGCGTGAATCTACGTGAGTCTATGCGAATGCTCATCTGTCTTCTCCCTCGATGTCACTGTGAGCGCGTATACCCGTGAGTGCCAGCGTGGTCTCTCCTCTTTTTAGAAACAGCCCTGGATGGCTCCTTTTATAGCTGCAAGGAGGGAGCCAGGAGTACATGAGAGAGCTACGCGTGGAGCCTACTGTAGTTCAGTCCTGTGGCAGCATGGTATTGGGAACGGCGATCGGTACCTGACTGGCGCGTCGTGCTGGCCAGGCTTGAAGTTGTTGAGGTCGTGGGGTCCTTGTTGATGTCTAGTCAGTATGGCCTCCACTGTAGGAGACATGCCGTGCCTTGTGGATTTTTGACTCCATGGAGTGCCGAGGCTTGGCGAGTCTTGAGGCGATTGTGCTTAGGCACCGCTTTGCCGAGGCCTCGAGAGGTGACCCGTGTATGATCTGCGGGGTCTCGGTGGTCGGCGTCGTGCAGTTCGGGTAAAAAAAAGTGCGGGCGCGTGTCCACAGAGGCACGCAGTAATCCCTACCGTCGATGTAGGGATGGTAAAAGGAGATTTGACCGCCCCCCATCGCCTCTGTTCTTGCACCACCACGCCAATCGTGGGTGGCGTAGTAGGTGTGACCAGCGCACTTTAAGTGGATGGGACGGCTCGCTAGAGGGGACGGTTGAGGCGGAGGCAGGCGAGGATGCGGGATTTGCAGGCCTCGGCCGAGGCGGAGAAGGAATAGTACGTCCGAGGCCCTACCGGGGGGTCTCGGACGAGGCGGAGGCGATCAGTTGGTCTTTCATGCGATTCCGAGACTACTGAGGACCGGACTTGACCCTCCACGCCGCTTTGTCCTTGACGCAGAGTTAGGTAACACAGGCGATCAGGTGTCGGTTGGGGCACGATGATGCGCCAACGGCAGTAACCCTAACTGCGTCCGGTCCCTCGTCCCGTCGGTCACTCTGCTGTCTTCGCGCTAACGTCTGGTGGCGTTCGCTATGGGAGTAGTTGGGCACATTAACTGGACGTGACGTTTTGTCAGGGGAGTCGGTCGGGACGGAGGTGACGAGGTTGTTGCCGAGCCCAGCCTCAGGCGAATCGGAGAATTGGTATCCCGTCCGAGGCCTTGCGGGGCAGGGCCTCGGCGAGGGGGCCTCGGCGAGAGGGCCTCGACGGGGCAGAGAGTTTTGGCCTTTCATCTGAGGCCTCGACGCAAGCCTCGAGTGAATCGGAGAATCTGCCGAGACCTCATGGTTGTCCTTTGGCTTTGATTTTTGCAAGGCTTAAGCAATATTTTCGGTTCTTGTTTAGGGTACCCCTTCTTGTAGTATCCGACACCTTCCTTCGGCTGCATCGGCCACATCAGGAAGACGAAGCCAAACCTCACCAAGCTGGAGGTCAGGAGCACACCGATGGTGTTCCTGGCTATGCGGAGGGTACCAAGGCTTACCGGCTCTACGACCCTCGCGGAGACAAGGTACTTGTCTCGCGCGACGTAGTGTTCGACGAGAAGGCGGCTTGGGACTGGAACAGTCTGAGCACGGGGGAAGCTGGCAGCTTCACCAGCACCTTCGTCATCGAGCACCTGGTCATCCACGGTGGTGGAGATGCCGGGGAAGAGGTGCCGAGCACTCCAGGAGGGGTGCCGAGCACTCCTGCGGTAGAGCCGAGGACTCCTGGAGGGATGCCGAGCACGCCAGGAGTGGCGCCGAGAGGTTCTGCAGTGGTGGCGACCACTCTAGGACGGGTGCCGAGCACTCCCGTGGCGGGGCCAAAAGATCTTGCAGTGGTGCCGACCACTCCAAGACTGAGGCTGAGCACTCCTACAGTGGTGCCGAGCACTGCAGGAGTTATGATGAGCTATCCAGAAGTAATGCCGAGCACTACAACTAGGGTGCCGAGCACTCCGGCGGAACAGGGAACTCCATCAACATTGATCAAGTTCGCCTCACCTCCAAGTGACTTCACTTAGTTGGTGGATGCCTTCCACGAAGGTGAGGAGGTGCGGTTCCGCAGGCTGGATGACATCGTCGGCGGCACAGGGCCCTCAAGCCTGGCGGGTAGGCTGCTCAGTGACGCAGAGCTGCTGCTCGTCAGCGCAGAGGAACCACCCACGTTCGCGCTGGCCGAGCACGACGGAAACTAGCGATGGGCGATGCTAGAGGAGATGAAGGCGATCGAGGAAAACGAGACATGGCAGCTCGTCGATCCACCTCCAGAATGTCGTCCGATCAGCCTGAAGTGGGTGTACAAGGTCAAGCGGGACGAGCTCAGCGCTATTGTCAAGCACAAGGCACGCCTCATTGCCTGATGCTTTGTTCAGCGTGAGGGCATAGACTTCGAGGAGGTCTTTGCTCTAGTAGCGCGCATGGAGTCCGTTCGTTTGCTACTAGCCTTGGCAGCAGCAAAGGACTGGCGCGTCCATCACTTGGACGTTAAATCGGCCTTCCTCAACGGCGAGCTGGCGGAGACGGTCTTCGTCAGGCAACCTCCAGGTTTTGCCGTCAAGGGAGAGGAGCAGAGGGTGCTCCGACTGCGCAAGGCGCTCTACGGGCTGCGGCAGGCCCCACGAGCATGGAACGCCAAGCTTGACGCCACGCTGGGCGAGCTTGGGTTTCAGAGGTGCGCAACCGAGCACGCGCTCTACACGCGACGACGGGGAAGGAGGAGCTCGTCGTCGGCATGTATGTGGACGATTTGATCGTCACCGGTGCGCGCACGGAGGACATCAACATCTTCAAGCGCGAGATGGCGGCTCGTTTTCGAATGAGCGATCTCGGCGCATCTCCTACTACCTCGGCATCGAGGTGAGACAGGGGAAGGAGGAACTCACGCTCGGTCAGTGCAAGCCATGCGTGACTCCGATGGAGGAGCGGCTGAAGATGACTAAGGACAGCCCCGCGGCGAAAGTGGATGCAACACTCTACCAGAGCATCGTCGGCGGTCTGCGCTACCTAGTCCACACGAGGCCGGACATTGCGTTCGCCGTGGGCTACGTCAGTCGCTTTATGGAGGATCCCAGAGAGGATCACTGGGCTGCGGTGAAGCGGCTACTGCGCTACGTCAAGGGAACGGTGGATCAAGGGATCATCTTTCCCAAGACCGGCGGGAGTAGGCTGCAGCTCACTGTGTTCAGCGATGCAGACATGGCGGGGGACATCAACGGACGACGGAGCACCTCTGGAGTGCTCGTCTTCCTCGAGTCGGCTTCAATTTCATGGTTGTCGCTGAAACAGAAGGTGGTGGCGTTGTCTGCGTGCGAGGCAGAGTACGTAGCGGCGGCCACAGCGGCGTGCCAAGTTGTGTGGCTGCGCCGGCTGCTGGGCGAGCTGACCGGCGTGGAAGCTCACACACCAGCACTGATGGTGGACAACCAGCCCGCCATCGCCCTCGCGAAGAATCCAGTTCTGCACGACCGGAGCAAACACATCGACGTGAAATTCCACTTCCTCAGGGACTGTGTCGATGGAGGGAAGATCATCATCGAGTTCGTCGAAACTGGTCGGCAACTCGCGGACGTCCTCACCAAACCGCTCGGACGTCTTCAACTCACGGAGCTAAAGGAGATGATCGGCATGGAGTGGGTACAAGGGATAGCAGTAGGATTAGGGGAATAATTGTTAAATAATCTACTGTTTCCTTGTGTGAACACACAGCAAGGGAAAGCGGCGCCGAAAAGGCCCCCTGCTGTGGTACTGTAGCCGTTGTCAGAGGCAGGCGCCGAACGGCTCACCTGCCGCACTGTAGCCACATGCAGTGATAGGCGCAGAAGTCAGTCCTGCTGTGTTATCTAGTTATTGTTGCAGCATGTGCGCTGTACTAGGATTAGATTGATAGAGTTGTATAAATAGACTACCACGGCAACTCAGTAAAGAGAGTTTAGATTTGCCATCTCCCATACAGGGCTTCGGCCATCGCTGGTGTCTTGTACTGTGTGTGTATGCTCTGTTCTCCATCTTCTTCAACCTCTAGCCATAGTGTGTGGGGACGGACAACGCTTGTTCGTGGTCGGCTTAGCTAGTGGGTGCTCGGCAACACTAGCGGGTGCTCGGCAAGACTGGTGATTGGTTCATTCACTTGAGCCGGTGATCCTGTGGGCTAACATATACATCCATCTATTATTTTTGCTTATGAACGAAGGCTACATGAAACTTTGCATAGCAAGTTGAACAAACGCTTGCTTGCCTCGTTTGCAATGTTAGCACCCATGAGGACACAACAATTGATTCCAAGTGTATCCGCGATTAACTTGGATATCATGCACGGCCCTTCCATCTTGACCTCCATGCCCTTGATGAGGGAGATAGCCTCAGCTCCTGGCCTTACCTTCCCTACAAGCTTCTTACATATACCCTCCACAAATTGATGGGGAGTCACAAAAACTAGCATATTCGCATCTTTGACTGCGAAGGAAAAGAAAAGTTTTATTCGCTAAAACTTATCTGACAATATGCAAGCAGCTTATTTTTATGATAATGACAAGAAGTTTACTCATGCATGCTCGTTTCCCTTTATGAAACTGTACATAATCAACTGTCTACGACTAGCATCTACCCTCCAAATCATCAGAATATATAGCTGGGTGACGCTGTGATTAATTACCTGCACTCTCCAAGTCAGGGTCGGCAATGACGTTCTTTCCAAGCTTTATACCTGGCAAGTATTTGCAGTTCTCCTGTAACCAATAAGAATAACGTCTTTTATTTAGAGTCATTATTACTAGTGTCATGTCATAGATAAGCCATTTAATTTGTTGATCCAGAAGCAAGATAAGCTAACGGGCCTGAACTCTTACATTTTGTTCGTTAATGGACTCGGATAGCTTCTTGCCTGTTGGCAGTATTTCCTCAAACACCCACATCCTTACTTCATCTTCAGGGAAAAAAGAAATTCCGTCCCCAGAGAAGTTAGTACATACCAACAGCTACAAGAAATTAAAAGAGCTGTGTACTTAGGTAATACAGGGAGTATCTAGCTAGCATCGAAATCTCCACGATGAGAATATATATAGCTTGCATTGATCGGCCATAACATTTACTATAGTAATACTTATGCAGTTAGTAGGCAAAGATGCAAATAGTGGCATGGACCATAGGGAAGGTTGGTGCATGTCTATGGAAACCCGACAAAAAGATAAGACATGACGTAAGCAAAAAATCTTATCTATCTAGTAATACGCTACTTACAAGTGTATCCATGCATTCAGCGAAAAAAAACTAGATTAGATGTAGAATGATAAGCGCGATGGAAATGGCATGCAGGACCCAATCAGCCAATATCGTATTATTTACAGTTATAGTAGGAGAAGGAGAAGCACGGAGAGCGTGTGCACGGCAGCAATTCAGCCAATTCTAATTCTATTGAAGGAGCTTTGACGGAGTCACAGAGAGAATGCGCAGTATGCATGTACAGTACCATAGAAGGAGGGCAGCTTGGCGGTGTTGGAGGCGATGAGGCGGGAGGCGACGCTGCCCCAGTTGCCGCTGCCAATGGCGGCCACCCGGTACTTGGCGTGCCCGTTCTCCATCTCCGGCGGACGTTGGCGGCGGCGGGGCGGTCCGAATTAAATAATGCAGATCAAGAAACGAACCACACCGCCGGCCGGCCGGAACAGCGGCGATTGGCAATAATCGGGCAAACCAAGAACAAGGACGGACGGCCCGACCCAGTAGCAGGAGGAGGAGGAGGAGGAGCGGCAGCGTGGATATATACCAGAGATTGGAGGCGCCGGGTGGGCGGAGAGGAGAAGAAAAGTAAAATTGAATTGGAGGGCAGGCAGTGACGACTGACGAACAATATTAGAAGAATGTCCCGCCCGTGGTTCTGGTTCTCTTAGATAGTAGGTCGGAGGGGTCGCATCCCCAAGAATCGCATGTGGTTGTTTCCTCTGTCCCTCCACCCCGCTGCTTTGTTTTTGTTTGTTGGCAAAACGAGGCGGCAGTCGCTGCCATTTCCTCCTTGGGATCGAAGAAGATGAAGAAGAGCCTGTGCCTCCCGTCTCGGGGGTATCGACCAAGACCAACTAGGCCGCGCCGCCCGCTCGCCACTTGGCCCAGCAAAACCAAAGGGAAGGGACCCATCATCGATAGGAGGCCCAAACGACATCGATCACCTCCGGTTCGCTACTGCCGGCTGATTTACATAAACAGTATTTATATGAGAGGGCTGGTCAGCCCAGCCAGCCAGCCGCCCCCAACCTTCATACTGTCCTCCAATTTGCACAACATAGGAGCAGAGTAGTACGCAGGGAACTGCAGCTTCCAGTTTCGTAGGTGGAAAGGAATGCAGATATTCATCAATCGTCCTTGCCTTTTTCAAGGACAAGGATATGTTTGTTGCCAACAAGCAGCTGCCAAACGGCTTATGACTGTATTGGGAGGGGAGGATTACATTGAAACAGTTGCAGCGTCAACATCCATCTTCTACTTTTGCTAGAGTTGCAAAACCAAATGCTAAAGTGCAACGTTCCTTTTCTGGGACACGTCAGATCTTCTCGACACTCCAAATGAATGATCCTGTACATTCCTACTAATATTTTCATCACTCATCAGACATGTACAGTTGACCAGTGAGCATGTCAGACACCACATCCTTCAGCAATCCCATGTACCAGTATCATCTTCATGCAATCCTCCTCCCTGTGGTAGTAATAGTAAGTAGTAAGTTAGTAACATGGCCACCCATCAGGCAAGGTCCATTCATCTGCCAGACCAGACCAAACCATACAGCTCAAAATACCAACCTCTCATTAGGCGCCATGGCCACCATGGCCAATCAATCAACCGACTTGTCACAAAACCTTCACAAAGGCACTACCTATATCACTGAAAATATGCAAAACGAACTTCAGCACTGCATAGGAACTACTTCAAGACATTAAAAAACAAGGCACTCTATGACAACACTTAATGCCAAGTGCAGAGAGAACATATGATTCCAAATGCAAGATTGGTTATACACACACACACACACACACACACACACACACACACACAGTGAATGTTCTGTGCCAAGGACATTGCTGCTGTTACATGGATGGATGTCGTATACTATATAGCAGTTGAGAAAGTTACCTCATGCTGTAATCTCTGGATCCTCTGTGCTTGTTCTCTGATGCAAACAAGGTTGTTCTTGATCTCACTACATATCCTTCCTTCCAGTAGTCTCACTGGAACCCAGAGCTTGGGCTCCAGCTCAAGCAGGTAAGACAGTGTCGTCTGGAATTCCTGCTCCTCTGAATTTCCCCCACCTTCGACATGCTACCATCAACCTATGCAAAACACAGGGGCATCATCAACATCCATGTAGACAGTAGACTCTTTATCAAAATAACAATGCTATTGACGTTTGCAACCAAAATTATGCCACAATTTAACAGCTGGATATGCTAAAGCCAGATTGGGTTCTCGAGAAAACTCTTGACGTAGTCAGATAAACTATGGACAAGTGAAAAATATAGACTTGCCCATATATAATATAAGAGGACTAAGACTAGGTTTGTTTGTGGATCTCATAGGGACCAAGAGCGGACCTAGTACTGCCACACGATCATAAATTCATAACATCAGTACAGCACACACTGAATCAGCAACGTTATGCCCTCATAGCCCCACATCAAAAGATGGTTCCCTTGCCAATTCAAAGCAAAAGGGACGAGTTACCAATGATTTCAACATCCTTATTACCTAGCTCAACCAGCGCAATGTGGTGAACCTAAAACGCCCGATCAGTGAGTGAGTCTGGATCCAGTCAGAGATCACTGGACCCAACCAATGTCGGTGGTGATTGATTTAGGGCTGGACTATACTGTACCAGCGCAGCAATGAGCAGAGCATCATTAGTGTTATAGGTAACTGGATTCAGTAGCACAGCTGGGGATCAGCTAGGACCACAGTAGGGTATATTACATACATACTGGCGAGCAATGAAGGAAAGGCCAGGAAGGATCAAGGAAAGGACAGGTAAGGTACCTCTTCAACAGACCATTGCCCCTGGAAGAGCTTGAAATCGCCGTCGATCATGTTGAAGGCGATCTCCCTCCTGCGCGCCCCGGCAGTGGGCAGCAGTTCCATGTCCCCCTCGTAGCAGTCTATGGTGCCTTTGGCGTTGAACTTGAATCCCAGCGCGATGTCCTGCTCCCCGACCTGGCCTTCCACACGGTGCACACGAGAAATTCCCCATTCATTCATGAACAAGCTGGATGCATTTACAGGCTGAGCTGTATAGTAGGAGGAGGAATCGAATTTGGGGTGCGGACCTGACCTGGTAGAGGCGCGCGAAGCCATCGTGCTGGTCGAGGAGGTGGCACTCGGAGAGTCCCGGGATGAAGTCGGCGAGGCCCTCGTAGTCGGTGAGCGTGGCCCAGACGGCCTCGAGCGGCGCGTGGACGCGCACCCGCGCGCGCACAAGGCGCCGGTTCCGCTTCCCGACCTTGGAGACCTGGATCTGGAAGCCGATGAGTTCGTCACGGTCCTCCTGTTCCTGGTCCTGGTCGTCGTCAGGCGCGGGCCAGTCGTCCTCGCCGGTCGCGTCTCCGGCAGCGACGTCGAGCGGCGGGTGGGGCGAGGCGGTGATTCGGCGGGAAGAGAGCCTCGAGGAAGGGGCGGAGGGGAAGACGAGGCGGAGGCGGGCGGGGCTGGCGGTGCGGAGGCGAGGGAGTGGGAGAGGCCGTGGCTGTGGGAGGAGACGCAGCAGCAGGAGGTCGCCATGTCCCTCCCTCGTCCGGGTCCGCTTGCCGCCTCCCCTCACAGTCTGTCTATCTGTCCTGTTGGATCTTTTGATTGATTAATTAATTGTTATAATTACTCTATTATAAGCTTATTAGGATATCATTAGTTTAGCATGTAGGACAGTGCCTTGCAAATAAACAAGGCCGGCCTGGCAGAGATTAGCAACTAGTAGCAGGAGAGGATAAGATTTGCTCAAATCTCTCCCGCCTCCCTTGTACTCTTGTTTATACTGCTGCTAGTAACACAGGAGTAAGATGTTCAATTATTTGTGACCAAGTCTCCCATCACATTTTTAAAGGAAAAGCCCCCTTCCGTGGTTGTCATTAACTTGAAAACATTATCTAGTTTAGAGTGTGATGAAAAAGACAGTTCGAACGTACTCTCTCAGTCCTAAAAGTAATGTAATTCTAGATTTTAAATAAGTTAGCATTTTTTTTAAGTTTGATTGAGTTTGTAAATAAAATCCCAACATTTATGTCTTCATAAATGTTAGTAGTTCATTTTCCCCCATAAATTCAGTCAAATATAATTTTTTGCCTCCTCGGGAAGTGAACTGCATTCTTTTTTGAACCGGGGGTACTTCCTCCGCGAAGTTAACTGATGTAGCATATGCCTCTCTCGTTATACTCTCCATAACTTGAAAGGTTATCTATTTTTACATAGAGTCGTGTTGCTAATTCCCAATACTACGCGTTGTACTCCATGTAAGAAATAATTTTGTTAATTCACAATCATAACATCGAATCGAGGTAATAATCGTGAATCTATTTCCAACTTCTGCATAAAAGCATGTGGCCTAATAAACAAAAAAAAAAAGAGTAGAAACATGATATTCTAAATTGTCAATTCTTAAGATCGCTACCCATATATTCAAGTGAAAAAACGCATGCACACCCAAAACTCAAGACATATCATTGTCAAATATTTATACCATATGTTTCGCTGCCCTACTAGAACCTGAGCGTGCAAAAGTAATGTTTCTAGGAAGCACACCCGTCTCTTCCTTTTGTGTCGACGGTGTGGTGAGCTTTTTCAAATCCATATTTATCTCACAAGAGCTAGCAATAAGTATTGCCCGTATCTTAAATTCGTACGCAAGTGGAACTATATATGAGCAATGTTACGGAGAGGGCGTGAAATTTCGCTTGCGTTTTGATTGTTGAAATGCAGCGATTTTGTGGTTACTGTAATTGGACGGTTTTTTTTTCTCTGGGGTGCGGTGGTCGGCCATGGCGGATGCAAGATGGGAATAAAGGAGAGCTAAATAATGAAGATTTAAGGCTAGGACTAGAGCTAGAGATTAATGATGATTTGAGACTAAGTGTCTCCGTTTTTTGAAGAAAAAAAAAGAAAAAAAGGAAAAATAAAAAGAGAGACTTGATGAGAGGATTGGTCAGAGTGTGTCGGGGTCTCCATGCAATCCAATCCAATCCTGAGCTTTCAGACAGCAAGCAGCAGTGTGAATGGTACGCTAGCTATGATTTGTGCGATGGATCGTATCGTATCAAAAGCCGCCAGCCCAGTTGTAATTGTGGCAAGGCAAGTTTTGCTTTGGTGACCAAAACCATACATGATGCAACGCACCAACGCATACAGTCCGTGCTCTGCCTGCCTACGTGTCTGTCCCCTTCTCTCTCTGTGTGTCTCCTCTGCTTTCGCCACAGCACAGCAGCGATTGATGTCCAAAGCTCCTTCCTCTTGCTGATGTGGGTTTCATTCTCGTTCAGCTGAGGGAGACATGGAAGGATGAGCAGTGGAAAGTGTTGTGGTGAATTCTCTCTCCATTTCGGTCGGTCGGTCCGCGGATTACAGAGAGAGAGAGATTTCTTTCTGTGTGTAAGAAGAGTACTCCTACTCATCAAGTCGTAAGGACTGTACTGAAATACTGAATGAACAGGGACAAATCTTCGTTTTTTTTCCTTTACATATATATAGACTTATTACTTATTCAGTCAGGGATCCAATTGGGAATCCCATCTCATCTCTAATACAGAGCAGAGTACATTACAGAATTAGATACAACATGATCATCAGTAATCGCATGTTATTGTTGTTGCTTGGATTCTCTTCTCCGAGTCGTGGCTGCAAATGAGAAATACTAAGTTTGTATGTATAAAGGATAGGGAGTGGATTCAGGCCGCCTGCGGTGCCGAAGAAGAAGCGAGTGTTATTTGTCGGCGTGGTAGTAGCGGTGGTACGCCGCCTGCGGGTGCGGGTACCCTCCTCCGTTGTGGTGGTGGTAGTGGTGGTACGCCTGTCCGCCGCTGGCCATGGGCACCATGCCGACAGCGGCGACGCCATGCATGGCGTACATGCTGGTTGGGACGGGCACCTGCTGCGGCTGCGGCTCGTGCACCAGGCTGTGCGGCACCGGGGTGGAGGCGAAGATGTGGTCGGACGGGGACGGCCCTTCGTTGGAGAGGCCCTGCATCCGCTTCACGTACAGCCGGTACTTCTGCAGGTGGCTGGCCACGTTCTCGCGCGTCAGCCCTTCCACGTTCATCAGCTGCATGATGGTCTTGGGCACCGCGTTCTTGATCCCCAGGTGCGCCACCACGTCCACGAACCGCTTGTGCAGCTGCGGCGTCCAAACCAGCCGGGGACGCTTGCTGCTGTTGGCGTTGTTGGTGGTGTTGGTCGCCGCGCCGCCGATGGCTGCTGACGAGTCCGCCCCCTCGTCCCCCCTTGCGTGTCCCGCTGCCCCCGCCTGAGGATGGAAGGGCGCGAAGGAAGAGCCGCTCCCTCCGCTGCCCGACGACGACGACGACGGCGCGCGCCGCAGCCGCGACACCGTGGCCGCCGACGCGCGGTGCACGTCCAGCAGCGTCCGCCCGGGCTCCGGCGGGATGCGGAACGCCGCCGCCAGACCCGGGGGCACCAGCGGCTGCGACAGAGGGGTCAGCTCGTCGTCGCCTGGGAGCCCCGACTCCCACTCCATCACGCGCCCGTCGTCGTCGCCGCCGCCGCCGCCGTAGCACACCATGTGGAGCTCGTAATCGTCCACCGCCTCCTCGCCCATCCGAATCGATGGATGGATCCCCACCTACCCTACACACCTGCCTAATCCAATTCGAATCCCCAAATCGATTCAGCAGCACAGGCACAGCAGCAACCCCAGATCAATCAATCAATTCCCATACGGAATCGAGCAATCCAGCCACGGCTCCGTCGATTCAACCGCCGGCGGCGGCGGGTGAGAAGAGATAGGGACAGGGACGGAGATATTTGTGTGGGCGTGGGGAGGAAGAGAAGAGGAGCTGCTGCCTGCTCTGCTCTGCTGTGCTGCCTGCCTGGCTGGGGCTGGGGCTGGCTGAGGTGTGAAGGACGCAGCCCATAATTTAATGGGCGAAATGGGAATAAAGGGCAAAAGCGGAGGGGAAAAGCGCACATCAGGATAGGACTTTAGATCCCCTCCCCCTCCACGTGGACCGCGATATTTTCTGATTCGCTTCTCCACCCTCGCCCGCCGTCCGATCCTGCGCTTTCCCGTGGCACGATCGGGGTTTCCCACCTCTTTCCGGGGCGGACTCGCAGGCGGCCCCCGAGATATTTCCTCGAGATTCGGGTGCCGCAAATCCGACGGCATTATTTTCTTTTCTCTCTTCGCTTTTCCTTCCCTTTATTTGATCCTGCTGCATCTCTTTGCTGTGGGCTTGCTTCATGCTTGGTCAAACCAGCGTTGCTGGCAGCAGCAGCAGATTTTTTTTGCCCTATCGCCTCTCTTTTCTTCTTCTTTTTCCTTCCTTTCGGCCTACTAGAATCAGATTCTGACCAGTACCGTAATAGCTTGGAATGAGATATTTTTCATCGTCCAATACATCTTGTTATTAATTAACAAAATCAAACAAAAAAATTTACCTTGATTCAAGACAAGAACATCAACCAGACACAGCTCTTTTTTCCTTCCAGGTCACTGTTACACAAAGTATCTTCGAACAGGAAATGAGTTCTTTCTTACTGTATGCATTTCTTCATTTTATTTAAGATTCTAATGATGCAACATTTACTGTGAAAATGACACGCCAGCCACTGGAAGGCCGCTATAAAAAAAATCAATGGTCCTATGCAGTTTTTTTTTCTTGAATCATGTGTGAAATTCATATGGACTACCTGTTAAATTCATGTATTCCAAACCACTATAAAAAGAGACAAGTAGGAACCAACTTTTCACTGATGCACCAACTTTCGTAACCAAACGGCTATAAGGGCAGTTCCAACGGAAAGTTTCTATAACAGTTTCAAAGGAAGAGAGATTTAATTTTAGACTCAACACCTCCAATGCACAGTTCTTATAGCGGTTTCTATAGAAAATAACATTTAATGAACATCAACATGTATTAAAAACTGAGAACGATAAGATGTAACAAACAATCGTACAGGAGACCATGATGCCACTCTAGCATGCTCATCCAGCCTACACGGTGAACGCCCGTGCTACATGGGCAGGCCAAGGACATCCGCAGGTAGCAGTAGCACGCCGTGAAGGTAGCATCAGAGAACAGAACTTTACTCCCGGCGAAAAACCTCCTCTAGTTACTGGTTCTTCACCCGGGAGTAAGCATCCGGGCGGAAAACCTCCTCTAGTCCTGGTTCTTCATCCGGGAGTAAGCATCCGGGCGGAAAACCTCCTCTAGTCCTGGTTCTTCACCCGGGAGTAAGCATCCGGGATTAAAGGGGTTCCTTTAGTCCTGGGTCAGGAACCGGGAGGGTAACACCAACCGGGATTAAAGGTCCTCCTAGCTTTAAAAAAAATAATGCCTCTCACCGCTGCGTCTCGTGAGATTCAAATCCAAGACCCCATGCATTGCCTCGCGCGTAGCTTACCACCTTACCTACACAACACATCTAACAATGGATGAGATGCTTCCCTTTTGATCTAACCTATCGGGGGACCTTTAGTCCCGGTTGGTGGTCCTTTAGTCCGGGTTGGTGTTACCAACCGGGACTAAAGGTTGATGACTTTTAGTCCCGGTTGGTGGCTCCAACCAGGAGTAAATGTCTACTTTTAGTTCCGGTTGGTGTCTTCAACCGGGACTAAAGGTCCTCTGTCACTGTGCCGAGCGCGGTAGCCGTTAGGCAGGGACCTTTAGTCCCGGTTGGAGACATCAACCGGGACTAAAGATCTCTCTAGTCCCGGACGTAAAAAATACCGGGACTATAGCCTATTTTAGCGACGGATGAAAAATCTGTTCTCTACTGGTACATGCTAGGGTGAACGCCGTCCTCCCGTAGTAGAACATGGGCAGGACGAGCGCGGCGTCTTGTGCTCTTGGGGGTACTCGTCGTAGTCTAGGGTTGTGAACTTGTGATGGTCTCCCGCACTATGGCCGCATAGGCACTGACGTTGCCGAAGTAGTTGCCTACTGCGGGGACGAGCTCAGGCGACTTCACCCGCCGCGGATTCCACCATCAAGCTCATGCAGCACCGCCACCTCAGGCACGCTGGCGAGACGTACGCGGACACCGCCTTGACGTGCGACGAACGCTAGGCTTGGTGCTGGTGCTCGCCTCTGCGGCCGGAGACGGAGCTCGCCCGTTGCGAGATGGAGGTGGTGCCGCGGGCGAGCGAGCACAGGATAGCGACGCGGGTGCGCCGGAGGTCGGAGCTCCCATGAGCGCGGGCGAGTCGCAACTGGGAAGCCCGCTGCTCGGGCGTCCCCCGCCATCTTCTCGGCGGATGCGGACGAGCTGAGGATCTAGGCGAGTCGTCCAGGAGGATGCGGGAGCACCATGGCCTCCCGTGCGTCCACCGCCGGCGAGATGGATCTACCAGTGCGTGTGAAGGACGCGAGCGCGCGGCCGGGAAGATGGGGGAGGGATGCAGGAGCGCATACCATGGTTTTGGCGGCCGCTGTGGGCAGGACGAGGCTCCCATCCAATGCCCCGTGTCAGTTGTCACCAGCTTCTCCCCTCACCCTTTCTGCAGTAGTAACCCATGCATACAGCAAGAGCATCACCAATTGAAGTTGATGAATAGAATTTACAGTTTCCACTGCATATTTATCCTTCAGGTTAGGATAAAATAGAAAAATACCTATTATTTAATTAGGTTATTTCAGTTTATGTCATCATGGTGGGATGATTGTTTGCAAATGTATCAACCTTCGGTTTATCTGCATAAAAAGTCCTCTTAGAAATTTCATCTCCTACTTATACACAAACATCTTTAGATCATTTTCCCTTTGGAGTCCATCTAAGCACTGCCTTTTATTAGATGATAAGGACAATTCATTGAAACCAGTTTCCCTTATGATACAAAACTGATAAATGTTGGCTCCTTTTTCTTCTTCAGCAATAATCATCATGTTCTTTGTACTGTTGCCAATTTTCCTTTTTCAGATCTTAATACGTCGCAGTTGAGTCTCCAATAGCTGTTCTCTCCTTAGTGAATGCTAAATATATCCATATACCCTTTTTGCTCTATGATATCATGGCCATCTACCATCTGTTGCTGGATTGAGTTTTGTTCTTGCAGGCAAATGTTGCTCATATAAATTGCAAGCAACAGAACAAACAAAAATACTACATTGATTCTTATGCTTTGGTTTCCTCTGTGTTCCAAATCATTTGCGGACATGCATTTTATATTTCTTCATGGATATTTGCCATTCCTTCCAAACTTAAATATATGTTTAGGAAACAAAGAAAAAAAACAGAACTGCATGGTTGTGATGGGTAAAAGATTGTCCTTATATGTTAAAGAATACTGCTACCTCTGTGTTCTCTAGGTTTTGTCGACAGTATGTTTACGGGTTTTCCTTAATGTCTGAATAGATTTCGATGTATGTCTGCACCAATTCAGAGTTCCTGATCTCAATGTAGATATTTTTATTATTTGAACTGTAATCAATCTACTCCTATTGATATTGGATTCCTAATCGTTCAGGTTGGCTTACTGCAGCATATGGTGAATAAAGTTAGGTTGCTTTGAGCACCACCGAGGTGCTGCCTCCATCTTTATTCATATGTAGTGTTACCAAAAAAAAAAACGCTGGTTTGTATCTCTCACATTTGGCTTTTTTTTGTAAGGTTTATTGCTGCCAAAATTGATGATTTTGTCATATTATTATTCATACAGTCTGACCTCTATCAGTGAGGCAGTACCTATGCAATTGTGCCAAGTTCTCTTAGAATGAATATGTCAGAGTTTAAGCTTTTCTATCTCAAAATTTTGAATCCTGTATGTTTCCTGCACTACCGCTTTTGCTCCAAAAGCTGGTTCCAGCCTAAGATATCAATTCACTTTATGAACCTGCATGTCAGTGGTCTTTCCCCACTACTCATGATCCATCATCCACAAAATGAAAATAATAGTTGATCTGGTGATAATTAGTTTCAGACCGGAAAGACAGCATTTTCTCAACTGATGAAGCCAATTTTGCTTTCTACATGCAAAACTCATAATCTGGAAATCATACAGGTGCTGGCTTGGTGCTTCCCAACTATTTTGATGCTTTGCAGGTAAAGGTGTATATCGTGGGACAAAGTCTCCCTTGATATAGCTTTTTTATTATTATTTCAAATAGATCTGGCAAGTTTTATGGCTACAGATTGTTAGTAATCATCAACTCTATATTAGTCTACAACGGAAAGACTCCTTTATCATCTTTGTTCATGGCACTATGAATAAAAGTTTAAATCTGTATGCTATCTTGTGCTCATGTCTCTTTACCTCCATGTTACCTATATATAGAATGCAGCCACATCTTATATATACCCTGAAGTTGTACGTATGTATATTTAAGCAGACGTAAAAACTCATGGCATGTCTTATGAAGATTAATGCTTAGTGTGTCCACTCCGCACGTCATGTGTTTCTTTTATTGGAGCAATGGGATTTACGTGTGCTGATTTATATATGGTATTTGCACATGCTTTGGATATGTACTATGCGTAATGTTCAATGCTCTTGCGTTAATCTACAAGTTTCCGGAATAAGAAGAAATTATTTAGTTAGCCAAAAAGCCAATAGTAACATAGAGTAGCCAAAGCTTATAATTCAGCCAGAGTCAAACACACTGTCAGGCAGCGACGCAGTTCACACGCAGCGAAGCGCGTGTATCGTCCTAGTATGAAACTGGGCGTACCGTGACAACAAGCTCGTTAAAAAAAGATAATTGTATTCATTTACACATGCTACTAGCTTGTTTTTTAAAACAACAATACAAATGCAGATCTCAAAATCGACGAAGTCAAAGTCACCACGGATGACTCACTATCGATGAGCATCGCCTAACGAGGGAAGGCAGCAGCTCTAGTCCCGATATTCACCAAATCGACACAGCCTCACAAGTTAATGAACTAACCATGCATTTTACTCGATGCATTATATAGATAAGGTCTGATCGGTTGCTTGTAGAACTCCTTGTCCAGGCCTCCGTAATACAAATCGACTCTGTTTGGTTATTTGTACAAGGCTTTACGCCGCACAGCGCTCTCCTCAAAGCAACCTGAGGCTGCATCACGCTATACGCTCAAAATTGGCGTATCCAGATCCAGCTATGCAAGGAGCATTTGCGCCCGCTCTGCAGGCCACGATCCGTTCTTTGCATCCGCTGTGCAAGCGCCTGCACCCGCAATGCAGTCGCTGCCTGATAGAGTCACCGGACACCGCCCACAATGCCCCTTCTCAATCTCTGTAGGTCGTGCTGGCGACTGACCCGCGCGCCGCCTTCCCCGACGGCGCCACGAGCATCGCCACCGCCTCCGTGGTCGGTTACCCTGTAGTATCCTCGCTCAGCGGAATCAGCTAGTGAGAACACGGGCATACCTCTCGTCGTTTATTTCCTCTCATGAATCCTCTCCGAGGCTCCAACAAATCTTGGGCGTGCGTTGGCCGGATTCCCTGTCGACTTTTCGGATCCACTGATGCGATTGATGACTGCTTACCGATTTGGAAGAGGAGAATATGGAGAACAATCGATTCCTATTGCTGCGACTCCTTGGGGATAGAGATTGAGAGAGAATTGGATGGTGCGGTGATGCCCGTGAGGAAGGAAGAAAGCAGAGGAGAAGGCTAGCTCTGCTGGGATTCGAGATGGCTGGTCACCTAGTCACAGGCTAGCTCTGGCTGCTCTGCTTCTATTGTTCATTTTTCTTTTTGTTTTCGTTGGTGATCTGCGATGGATGTGATGAATGGTAAGCTCACCCACATGAGCATGTATGGTAACCTGAATCCTCCTATGAAGTCAACCAAACACACATGTTTGCAATCCCCTATACAGGCTCATCACTTATGCACCGAATCAATCACGCGTAAAACATTGTGCAGCTTCCTATCCTCACAAACCAAACAACAATGAATTGCATAACCATAGTGTTTTCGGCTTTTCGCACGAGGTACGTATGTTGAGAATTAATCATGCATACTCATCATAAATACAAAAAAAAAACAGACAATGATGATTATTGGGAAGAGATGACATAAAACCGAGCCAACACCAAAATACGTTACACGTTGTTTGCAAGAGCATGCAATTTTGCAATATAATGAAACTGGAACGATGTGATCGATGGATTGGATCCGTACGTGATGACGAACGTCTAGCCCCAGATCATGACGACGGCCATGACGGCGACGCCGAGGAGCACGGCGAGGAACTTGAAGGATGGGTTGTCCACGCGGGTGGGCTCCTGGGGGCGGTACCCTTTGGCGATGAGGTGGTTGATGGCCACGTACAGGAACACCCCCGTGGCGAAGCCCATGGAGACGGCGAACGTCCAGTCCGCCGCCCTGCCCTCGGCCGTGGCGTCGATGCCGATGCCGATGCCCACGCCGACGGGGCTCGACACCGCGAACGCCAGCGAGTAGGCCACCGTCATCAGGAACGGGCGCTTGGGGATCATGCGCAGCAGCGCGATGCCCATCGCCACCGCCGCGAATATCTTGTGCAGACCGATCGTCCACAGGTTACGCCACGCGTCGCTTTTGGTTGCCGAGACGCCGATGGCGATGCCTTCGAAGATGGAGTGGAAGCAGAGCGCGAAGATGAGCAGGGCGGCGTCCTCGAACGACGCCGTCCTGACCAACATGGGGTGGTACTGCGGGTGCGCCGCGTCCTCCTCCTTGGTCTGAGTCTGATGACGATGGGCGTCACCTTCTTCCCCGGCGGCCTCGTTGACCACCCTCTGGCCGCCGCCACCGCCGCCGCTTCTCTTGGTGACCGCGGCGACGACACAGTCGGCGAGCATGGTGAGCAGGAAGCCGACGCTGGCGAGCATGTAGGAGAACGGGTACTGGTTCTTGGTGAGCCCGTGGAAGGTACTGGTGGAGTCGGCGAGGAAGTGCATGAGCGCCGTCCCGAGGAAGACGCCGGCGGCGAACTGCGTGCCCAGGAGGAGGAACGCCTCGTTCCAGCGGTAGAAGTAGGGTGACACGCCGCCGAGGAAGGTGAAGACGAGCAGGATGACGAGGCACCACACCTTGACGGCGATCAGGCCCTTGGAACGCAGGTGACGATGAACCGACGATGGGTCGGCGTCGGCCGGCGGAGTGGTGGCGTCTCCGTCGTCGATGCCGCCATGGGCGCTTGCCAGCTGGAAGCACAGCAGGGAGAGGAGGAGCAGGGTGCAAAGGAGCGTGGACGCCCTCCTGCTAGTGCTCATCCTCACCATCATCATCAAAGGTCTTGGTCGCATGCGATGAGGGGATCGGAGAGGTTTCAGACAGACTTTCAGTTTCAGCTACTAGTGGCTTATGGACGACTTTGGTTAATTAGGAGACGTGTGTATGTATATGTATTTATATATATATCTACCGGTATATATCAATAGATATGCAGCATGTTTGCTTGTTGGTTTCAGCCAGGGTAACCCGCTAACCGTGTTTTTCTCTCACAACGAATCAGCACCAGCCGAGACTTATCAGCTTAGAAACCAACCAGCGAACAGGTCGATGTTCATCTCGTCAATCAAGTAGATTTATTAGATGCTGAATGATAAACAATATACAAATAATGCTAATTTGATCATTGCTGAACTAAAGCCTGTTGAATGTTAATAATAAGATGAAGGTTCCATTATATTAGATCAGCTGTACCTGTGCTACATGCTAGATGACATGCGCATACTAGCTTATATGCAGTACAAGTGGTAGTTAGCTGACTTTGTAAGGTTGTACTACACGCTCGCTCTTGCTCCCTCTCTGGCTACTAGAGATGTACATGTCGTACGTAAGTACGCATGCTAGCACGCCTACTTCAATTCACTCCGTCCTTGGTCGTCGGATTTTATATTATAATATCCATCTTGATAAGGTGCCCAACAATAATATCCAGTTCAACTTCTATACATCCCTCCAGTAGATCAACCTGCTGTTTTTATATATTGGTTTTGTTTTGCTGAATGATTTCTATTCAGAGCAAGCAAGCTAGCTATGGTAGCTGACTGTGTATATCATCCGATCACCATATATAACACCGTTGATTAAATAAAAAAATATAAGCAACAAAAACAGCATCAATCATGATACAGTGTTTTTCTCTCACAACAAAACAGCATCAGCCAGCTTATCAGCCGCAGAAACGATCAGCCGAACAGGCCGAAGGCTTTTTATCTGGCTTCTGCCGTTCAAAGGCCAGAACATGAAAGGAACAGACTAACTTTTGAGTTGATTTTTGAAAAGCTCATGAGAGAATGAATCAAAAGTTGAGCAATAGGTTCTGAGAAGCTTTTTGTGGTTTTTTGTGTGCTAAGAAGCTCAAAACATATTACAAAAACCAATAGAGAAAAAAAAAACTCGAAGCCAAAAGACATAAAGCCACAGAAAGCCAGCTTTCTAATCGAATTGGAATGCTAGGAACCTTGCTCTAAGGGTACTATCTTCGTCCTGAAAAGAATGCAACTATATGTTACGTGTCACGAAAAGTGGTTCACGTTTAACCAATTTTTTAGTGAATAATATTCACAGTTATGTCTTTAAATTAATTTATTATAAAAATATATTTTGTAATTAATCTTATGGTATTTATTTGGTATCATAAACATGGATACTTTTTATCTATAATTGGTCAAACTTAAGGTATTAAAACGTGACACTGTGCTAGAATTGCATTCTTTAGGGACGGAGTTAGTAACAAACACAATCCACCGGTTTAAACGCAAACCAAGTGTTCTAGGAGTTGAAGAATAGGTCGGGCAGCTCTCTAATCGAGTTTTGAGGCTCAATCTCTCATGGATCTGCACGGGAATCATGGGGAGAAAGCTTAGGAGCTTGGGAGTCTTCAATGGGGAGAAGAGAGAGTGCTCTGGTTGCCATTGGCAGAGAATGGTCGAGATGACCGTTGGGGGAAGAGAAAGATCGAGGCATAAATGCCTCCCTCTCTCCAATGGTTGGTTAAGTGATGGCAGTGCCGCGTAAGCCAAACAGCCAAGGGATAGGAGATAGGTTTAGAGTCTGGCTTGACTTGGTTTGAGGATTTGTATGGTGGGTATATGAGCACTTGGTTTCATATCGAAGCTTGTGCATTGTATCCCCTTACATAGTGCGGTTTTTTCTATACTCAAATTCAAACCATAAAATAATTTAAAAACGCCTTTTGCGTCCAATGCCGTGTCCTTTGTAATTTGGAGCTCCACCATTTTATGAATTATCCCCATGCTTATTTTACCTGCCTCGTCATCTCGATAAATCTTATTAGTCCTCTAATTATAAGGTCATTATCATCAAAATCCATAATTAGTGCTTGATTGCACTTACATATGTCGAAAATAAGAAGGTCAGCTTGGGGAGGAAGAGAAAATGAATGGGAGGGGGATGGTGCCCTGTCACCGCCCACCTTGCTGTCGAGGGGACGTCCACCAGCAACCTTCGTCGGTGGCGAGATAGAGGGGAGGAAGGGTTAGGGGAAGTGAAAGATGTGGTCACGGTCCTTGCCTAAGTCACCCTGAGGGGAAATTCAATTTGAAATCTCCTTCGTGCCCCATGGATGTTTGTTGTGTGTTGCTTCGTCGGTGGCAATAATGTTTTTAACCACCGATTCTCAAATCTCTAACGGTGATTCTAGTGCCCGGACGTCCGATGCGCGAGTGCGTCTGAACGCCGGTCCCATACGGAACCCCCACCACGCCCCCCGCGCACGGAACGGAATAGAATGGAACCCGCCCCTGTCCTCCACTCCCCATCGCGCCCCTGTCCCCCGTTCCCCAACGCACCCCGTTCCCCCACCGTGCCCCTGTCCCAAAAGAGCATGAAACACTTCAATTGCGACATTGCAATATGGAAAAACTATGTAGTGCAACATCGGGTTGTAAATACTGCAACATCGAAAAAAATATGTAGTGCAACATTGAAAAACATGCACTGCAACATTGAAAGATATGTACTGCAACAACGAAAAATATGTACCGCAACATCGAAAAAATATGTACTGCAACATCAAAAAACATGTACCGTAACATCAAAAAATCATGTACTGCAACATCGAAAAAATATGTACTGCAACATCGAAAATTATGTGATGTAACATCAAAAATTATATACTGCAACATCTCAAGCAGTAGTACTGCAACATCGCAAGAACATCTGTTGCAACGACCCAAAAATCCCATTGCAACATTCAAAAATCAATCTGTTGTAACATCCCAAAAAACCCATTGCAACACGGGAGAAATAGCAACCAAAAAAAGCGTACAAAAATAGCCCCTGGCCCATCACCTCGAGCTCAACGGAGGGAGGAGGGAATAGGGCCCCAAAGCTCGCCGAAACCCTAGCCACCGCTGCATCCCTCAGATCCGGAGGAGGAGGAGGGCCCAAAGGAGGAGGAGGAGCGCTCAGATCTAGAGGAGGAGGAGGAGGAGGGCTCAAATTCAGAGAAGGACTGACCTACCTCGTCGAAGCCGCCACTGTCGTCCTCGTCTCCGGTGGGGGGTGAGGGAGCCGGGTCGCTGGGGAGCGCGGGGTTGCATGGAGGTCGTGGAGGGGCGAGGGACGGAGGAGGGGGGAGGGAGCACGGGCGGGCGGGGCGCACAGCGAGCTCGTGGGAGCGGGCGCGGCGTCCCCGTCTCGGGGATGGCCGGGAGAGCAGGCAGGCGGAGCGGGGGAGAGCGAGTGCGGGGGAGAGGGGGTGTGGAATGGTGCGTCCAGACGCACGCTATATATCATTATCGCATCTCCAAATGCAGTAGTGATGATTCAATTTATGGTTACTGACCAGTGGTATAAATGTTTTTATGGTTAGGAAGTCGATCGAAGCCGGACAAAGGAGGATAGAAATGAGATGTGAAGCGACACAAGATAGGCTCATTGTAGTAGGTACCGCCGTTCAGAAAATGTTGTTTTTGCTATGAATCAGCAAAAACGTAACACTGTTCTTTTTGTTACATTTTTTTTGGGACGGAGTATGAGAGCAGCGGGGGTGTAGGTAGCTGCGTATCCAAATCCAAAGCAAGGGATGGAACGGAAAGAAAAAACATAAATATGCATACTCTTGTGTATTCCAGAAAAAGAAAGAAAAAAAACATAGATTGAAAGGGAGCGATGAGTTAGTTAATTCGTGCATCCATGTAAGTAGAGTACTCCATCTACGCACTAGTAGTCCCTCTGTCAAAAAAAAATGCACTTCTTGTTTTGCAAGAAGTCAAATAATTTAAATTTTGACCAAAGTTAAATAAAAAATACTAACATTTATGATACAAAATAAGTATTATTAAACTAGTTATGAAATATATTTTCGTAGTAAACTTTATTGAAGACACAAATGTTAATACTATTTATTACAAACTTGATTAAATTTAAACTAGTTTGACTGACATAGATTTCATATTTATATTTTTTTTATGGAGGGAGTAGGAGTAGATACTAAGAGCAAGGTTAATAATACAGCCCGATGTTGGCTGCACGAAAGTTTCCATCGTATCTCCAACCCACTTATATAGTAGTTAGGTCATCTATGGTTTACTTGTTTTCTCTCTCAAAGTGTCTTGGTTTTATGCTTAAGTTATCTGTAAAACTCATAGCCCTTTGTTCTTCTGTTTCTTGTCCTCTCTCTCCTTCGCCTCAGCAGGCGAACAGATCACCTCTTCTTTCTCGGCCCATACTCGCACGGGAGTGCTACATGCATGGCTATGGCAGCATTTGGCATGGGGTGCTTTGCTCCGGGTACCGGGTGCGTGCCGTACTGGATCTCTCTCTCTCTCTCTCTTGTGTTTGTCTGCGCAGCTAGCAGTCAGCACAGCAATGATCCAAGCATGAATTTCTGCTCCGTCCTTTTGTATTACCATAATACAGTACTCTGTTTTGCATTCAGTGATTCAGACTCAGTGAACAGAGATAAGTAGTATACTCCTACTATATATTAATAATAATGCTGACAATAAGGTACTAGGAGTACTGCGTACTGTTAATAATACTTACTATACCACCAAGGGCACAATGCCCAGCCAAGCATCAATTTCAGCTGACCGCCCCTTGCTGCTTGTTAGCTACTCCACCAGTCTTGTTCCATCTGCTGCTGCTTGCTGCATTGTTATTAGTATTTGCTAGTACTAGCAGCTGGAAGTATATAACACAATAAAGGAAATAACGTACATAATACAGGTGATTAGTTACATACCTTAATTACTGATAAGCAACAAGGGTGTGGCAATAACTAATGAGAACTACTAAAAGACAAGAGCAGAGCAAAGGTGAGTGGACTGCGCATGGCTGACTGGCTGGCTGTGGCTGGCACTGCCACTGTCCGCCAGCTGCAAGCAGTGCGAGTGAGTGTGTGTGTCTGTGCCTAGCTGCTGATTGATCACGAACGCATGCATGATGATGTACTATGGGAATGGGATGATGGGTGGCCGGGCGGCCGGGTACTGATGAATCATCTCTATCATATGGAGGAGTATATAAGTACTTTGTTTTCTTGAGGATCGAATCTGGGATTAATATTCTGATCGCACGCAACGCAATGCATGGTCGATGTGATGTGATATGATCGATCGCTCGGCGCGCCCGGCCGGGGGAATGAAGATGAAGGGGACCATTCGTTCGTTCCCCCATATGATGCTGCTGCAAACACAACATGCATGCATGCATGTACGGAGTATTTGTTTCTTGCATTGCATTACATGATGTACGACAGCACCAGTAGCAGCGGCAGCATGCTGTTGTCTATTGCTAGCTATAGACGACCGATATGCATGCATTCCATCATGGAGTGGAGTGAGAGACTACTGTATATACTCCAGCTTGCTGCATTGCAATTGCAATTGCAAGTCAGGACCACGCCACGCGCGCCTACTAGTGTGTAGTAGTAGGAGTACGTACTGTACGTAGGTAGTAGCTAGTACGACGTGTGTTGTGTTGTTGGCTTCTTTCTTCCCTGCTGGATCGGCTGCTCCCTGTCCGTCCCTCTCCCTCCCTCCCTCCCTCCAATGATTAATAATGATAATAATGATCCGACCATGGCGACCTACTATCTCCATCTCTGATTGGTCCAAAACCGACATCTCTCTCCTGGTGCCTGGTGGTCTCACTCTCACCTCATCTCTGAATCTCTCTCTGATCATCCATGCATATATGGAGCCAGTCAGCAAGAGCCCCAGTACGACCTGCTGCGTAGTATGTATACCATGCAAGGGGTGGCTGGTGTACATGTACTGCTGCTGCACCACATGACGAATACAGTAATGAAGACCATGCACCGTTGTATGCATCATGCATGACTGATTGATTCCATTAGTTAGATATATGCATGCATGTATGTATTGCTCTTTATCTGACTGGTAGCAAGGGTAGGTGGTGCTAGTAATAGTACCCAGCAGTAACAAGGGCTCGTTTGATTGCCTATTTGGCCTGGTAGCCAGGCTTCCACAAAGCCCAATCTGTACGATTTGGGTGGCTTCCTGGAAACGCCAGCGCCCTTGTTCGTTCCCCTCACCTCCCGATGCTTCGCCACCGCTCCCGATGTTCCTTCACCTCCGCAATCCGAGGTCGCGCGCTGCTGCTCCTCCACGCTCTCGCGCCGCCGCTCCTACACGGCTCCTGCGCCGCCACTCGGACACGCATCACGGCATCCAGGCGGAGCAGATCCGGAAACGCAGGACGGGTGGAAGGAGGTCGGGTGCGGGATGGCGTGCTCCTGCCATGGCCAGGCGCTCGACTCGAGCGTGAGGACGGTGAAGTTGGCGAGCTCGGGGAGGCGGAGCAGCGACGTGGTGCCGTAAAACCGGTGGCCATGGCGGAGCAGCGACGTCGCGAGCAGGAAGAAGTGGTCGTGGCCATGGCGCCAAGGGTGTCGCGCGGCCTGCTGCCTTGCTCACCGAGGCGCCAAAGAAGAAGTGCTCGTGCGGAAGAGGTCCGGTGGAGGAGGACGAATCGCCGCCTGCTGCCTTGCTCGCCGAGGTGCCTTGCTCTGTGTACATGCCCACCATCTGTTCGACCAAGGTAAACTTACCGGCCGAAGGAAGAGGTGACTCTATGCGAATCAAATCAGGCAACCAAACGTATCAATTCCTAACAGTTCAGGCAACCAAACATGTGTTGCTTGCATTGGTTAAAGCTGGCTAGATCTAGCTTGTCTTAGTTTTGCTGAACAGGCTTGGCGAGGAAGTGAACCGAACACACCCATGCTCAATTAAGGGGGTGTTTGAATCCGGTAACTAAAATTTAGGAGGTGTTATATGAGGATGTCGCATGGGGTGTTCGGATGCTAATAAAAAAATAAATTACAGAATCTGTCGGTACTCCGCGAGACAAATTAATTAAGCCTAATTAATCCGTCATTACATATGTTTACTATAGCACCACATTGTCAAATCATAGGCTAATTAGGCTTAAAAAATTCATCTCGTAAATTAATCGTAAACTGTGCAATTAGTTTCGTAATTAGCCTATATTTAATACTCTGTGTATGTGTCAAATATTCGATGGAACTACGAGTAAAGTCCCCCTGAGTAGAGTAGCTAGCTATTAGCTCTGCCGCCGCCCTGCATGCTTTTGTAGGAGTAGGACTGTGTAGGAGTAGCCATCTGCTCTCTGCTCATCGATCACCAATTCACCATGCCTTTCGTTCGTTCGTTCGTTCGTTCCTCTTTACTTATGTACATATACAGAATTTTTTTTTTGACAGAACGCGGCAAATAAATGACAAAACAAAAGTAATTAGCTACAAGGACGGATTCAAGGAAGGATGCCTGGCTAGCTAGCTAGCTACCTACAAACAAGAGAAGGCCATGGATCATGGATGGAGCTAGAGGTGGATAGGTTGGAGGAACGAACTCATATGAATGGTCATGACGTGCAGCAGGCAGCAGCTCGGGCTCGGTAGATGATGGAGTACTGCTAGTAGTCGCGCCAGCAGACGAGCATGGAGACGCAGCGGCGGACGATGTAGAAGCGCGCCCGGTGCTCCTTCACCGCCTCCACGCACTTCTTGGACAGCCGCGATGACGACGACGACGACGACTCTGCTCCGCCTGCTGCTTGCTGGGAAGACGAGGCGGCGGAGTAGGAGGAGCTGCTGCTGCCTGTGCCTGTGGCTGCTGCAGCAGTACTGGTACTTGTAGTCGTACTCCTGCTGCTGCCCACGCTCGCCGAGTAGCTCCGGCTGAGCACGCTGCCCGCCGAGGCGTCCATGGCGTGCGGCCTGCCGGATCTGCTCCGCCCCTTCTTGGACAGCTTCCACCTGTCGTCCCCGCCTGACGACGACGAATCCATCCGGATGCCGGCCGGCCGGCTGGTGGTGTATATATGTATGGCTGTGTCGTCGGCTAACTCTGCCTGAGTTGGTGAGGAGGGAATGTGCAGTGGCTGGCTGGCTGGCTAGATTTATATAGAGAGAGGAGACTGATCGACGGAGTCACTGAACGAGGAGAGGACACTAGAGGAGAGAGCTTCCTGATAAATTATAAATCCTGCCCTCACGGCCACGGCCTCACTAGTAGTGTGCTCTAGCTAGCTTGTTGGAGTAAGTGCAAGATCGAGTGACTGAACTACTGAAGAGGCGGCGGGCCGGCCGGGGAATAAGAATAATGGAAGGTTGGAACGGAATGGAGAGGTAGCTACCACTCTAGCAGAGAGGAGATCGGAGTTGAAGCAAGCAACAGCATGCAACATGGAGAAGAGGAAGAAGAGGAGGAGGATTTGATTTGATGAGCAAGTGGCTGACTGGCTGGAGCTCCTGCTCCTGATGATGGGGAAAAAGCAGGAAAGGGGAAGCAGGGGAATGAGCTGAGGAGAGATGGTGGCCTTGTGTGCTAGCTAAGCTCTAGGCTGTAGTTGCTGCTGCTGCTGCTGCTGCTGCAACTATCGAGTGAGTGAGTGAGTGAGTGAGTGAGTGCTGCTGCTGCAACGATTGAGTGAGTGAGTGTGAGTGAGTGAATGTGTGGGTACGGTGAAGAGCTGCAAAAGCAACTGATCGAGCAGCAATGGTAGGCGATCGAGAGCAAATGGGAGATGTGGTACGGTAAGACCAACTGCAGCATGCTATCAAAATACGGTCCTATTTTTTTTTAGTAACGAATTAAAAATTTTCATTCCAATAATCTGCTAGCTACTAGGTCACCTAAATTTGTTGGCTCCACGAGTTCCCTCTCCCGCTATCCACTTCTGTTGATCCAACAAATTAGCACTTAAATTCCAGTTTGACTGTTGTTTCCTCACCCCTCGCGTGGCTGTGGCTCCTCCCCTGCCGCCGCCGCCGTCTCCAAGTCCGTCGAAGGCGGTTCTGGTCGCCCCTAGTCGTGGCTGTGGCATCCTGATTTTGTCTAGTTGAATAGAAAAGTTGGAGGTCGATCTGTATGTTTGGAGTTGCTTTAAGGCCCTGTTTAGTTTCTCCCCTAAAGTTTAGTCTATATCCCATTGGATGTTTGATATATGTACGGAGTATTAAATATAGACTAAAAAATAATTAATTGTACAGATTATGACTAATTTATGAGGCAAATTTTTTAAACCTAATTAGTCCATGATTTGACAATGTGGTGCTACAATAAACATATGCTAATAATGGATTAATTAGACTTAATAAATTCGTCTCGCGGAATACCAATAACTTCTATAATTTATTTTATTATTATAATCCGTGACATCCCAAAATAACATCCGACTATCTTGTCCCTAACTTTTAGCCCCCTAATTTAACAAGGAACGAGTAGCAATCGCGGCGCGGGCGCTCACCAACTGAGTCCTCCCCTGTCCCTGCTCTCCCCTCCTTCCCATCCAGTTCCCACTCTCCTCGCTCCGGCCGGTGGGACTGATCGAGAGGGACGGATGGACGACGTGAAAAAGGAAAGGTATCCTGCTGGCTCTTCTTGCTAGCTGCCTACTCGCTACGGGCTACTGCTACGGCCGGGCGGGGAAAAGAAACAGGTGTTTGCATCCGTTCACTAAAATTTAAGACGTATTATACGAGGATGTCGTATAGAATGTTTGATACTAATAAAAAAATAAATTACAGAATCTGTCAGTATTTCACGGGACGAATTTATTAAGCCTAATTATTCTGGCATTAACACATGTTTACTGTAGCACTACATTGTCAAATCATAAACTAATTAGGCTTAAAAGATTCATCTCGTAAATTAGTCGTAAACTGTACAATTAGTTTCGTAATTAGTCTATATTTAATACTCTATGCATGTGTGAAACATCCGATGAGACAGCGACTAAAATTTAGGAGGAGAAACCAAACACCCCTAACAACTGCATCTGCATGGGATGTGCGAGATGTGAAGATATTGGATCGAGTATGTATGCCATTGCCGGATGAATACTACTGGTATATGAGAATGAATCGAATGAATATGCATGCAGAATGCAATGGAGATGGATGGATGCAGCAACAAAGTAAATAAAAAATGAAATGAAATGATGGGGCCGGCCGGCGCACCGGCGCAGGGCAGGCGTAGCAGAGGGAGTAGCAGTAACAGCTCTCTCAGGAGGAGTACGTACTCTGTCTGTCTGTCTACATGTTTTGTCAATTTGTCCGTCCGTCCGGTTTTTTTTTACCACAACAGCTTATAATATATAGCGTTAAAGTACATTACAACAGTGTGGAAAAAGAATTCACATATTATAGAGCGCATACATGTAAAAGTTACGGCTAATCTGCTTGTGTAGACATAGGTGATGCTTCCGTCGAGGGCGCGGGCCTGTTGTGGCCACAGGGCCCACGAGAAGTGGGCACGATAGAAACATCGAGGGGCCTCGTTCTCACACTCTGATAGCACATTCAACGCTCCCCTCGACTGTCTGATTGGCATGTGTCTTCGATGATTAGTAGTCTTGAGCTGTGAATAGGATGGAGGCTTCACTGGGCTCAAAAATATGGATCCACAGCCACCGATGCCAAATCCGAGGACCTGCATCAACTAACGTTGGCGGTCAACCCGAACACCAATAGCTGTGTTAGAGCAACTCCAGTAAAGCCCCTACTTGAACCCCTATAGCTAAATATGAGGGCTTAGGTCAAAATCGCAACTCCAGCAGGGCCCCTAATAGAGCCCCCAATTTGGGGTGGGCACCCAAATCTCGCCCCCAGACCCAATTCTTGTTGGCCCAACACCCCCCCCAGCGCGCGCTGCTACTTCTCTCCCTCCGTATGCGCACTCACTGCTCTAGCTCGGCGTTTCCTACCCTGCCTCCGGCCGTTCCGTCCCCTACTTTCGGCGACCCTTGCCCTCGCCTCCCCTCCGGTCGTCGAGATCCGGCTCCCTCCGGTGGACTGCTCGCGGAGGTGGAGATGGAGGCGGCCATGGCACACTGCTCGTGAAGGTGGAGACGGAGGCAGCCATGGCGCAGTCCACCCACGCACGATTCCCTCACGGCCATGGCTGCGCCTCCCTCCGTCGCGCCCTCCTCTCCGGCGGCTCTGGCCCCGGCCCGGAGCTCCTCCCCACTCCCCCTACTATATCTCCTCCCCGCCCAGATCTCCCTACCACGACGCCTAAGCCCGTACGCGCTCCCCCATGCAGGGCCGACTCCTTTCCCTCGCCGACGCTCCGCGCAGTCATGCCGCCTCCCGCTCGTACGCGCCGTCCGCTTGCCCCAGGGTGGTTGTGTTGGGATAGCTCAGTAGTCAGAGCAGATGATGACAACTGGGTCCCACTTGTTATTTTCTATTAAAAAGGATTTGGGGGCTTCTGCTAGAGATTGCAAAATAGAGGGCCAACAAAAGTAGGGGGAGCACCCAAATCAGATATGGAGGCCCTGATTTGGGTGCTCCTACTGGACTTGCTCTTACCACTTCCACGTCTACAGATAAAAATAAATATTGACAGAGAATATAGACTTGTTGTGTCTGGCAGACCCACAGAGCAAGAGGTGGCCAGCAGTTGGACACGGAACCACCCATGAAAGGGCAGCCTCCTGCATGAGATGCACGTTGCACTGGCGGGGCCTAGTAGTCAGTAGGTGGACCCTATAGCGTAGCAGGTAGGGCCCATCCGCACCGAACAAATCGGAAATGTCGAGGAAGTCACGGACAAGGCGGACGTAGGAAGCCGTAGCGGCGAACGACATCGCCGCAAAAGTTCCCGCTGCGGACGCTAAGGCCGGCGCAACCTCCTCCGCTCGGGAGATGCAGCTGACCTAGGCTGCCTTGGAAGCTGGCGTTGGAGACAAAGAAGGTCGCCCGCGTGGTGGCTCTCGTGGCCACCAAGTCGCCCTCGCCGGTTGGCGTGGAAGAGGAGAGCTCCCGCTGGAGCCCCCATGACAAGCAGCCACACCAACCGGGGGGGGGGCGATGGGAGACGTGCCATCACTGAGGATGCTTTCATCCTTCTCGCCTTTCCGTGATGTCCAAGATCGGGATGGATGGGTCGAGGTCGTCGGATACATATAGGTTGTTGGCGCTGTTAACACTGTTCGTAGATGCGCCACTTCTTGTGCTCGATTGGGATGGGAACGTCACCATGCAGCTCTCATATCCGCAGAGCAGACAAGGAGGAAGCACAAGATAGTAGGAGGGCTTTATTGAAGTACTCACCTTGAAGCTATGGAGGGAGCTCACGCCGGCCGCCATGGCCACCATGAGCTTGCCCACCCTCTAGGAGATGAAGGTGAGGAGGACTAGGGCCCTCAGAACAACCATCACGGGTGCTTATTCCACCTAAGAAACTCTAAAGGAGAGGGGGGCTGGCCCGCCTACCCTCGTCGTCGGCACTACGCAAAAAATGATTTTTAGCAACGGTTCAAATTTTTTGTGGGGGTGGCTGGTGATGGAGCTGCCCCTACAGTGGCGTGTTCGGCTGCCCAGACATCAGCCATCCCTACAAATGGGGTCTGATTTGTAGGGGCGGCTCAATGACCAGCCGCCCCTGGAGTTGCTATTTGTAGGGGCGGCTAGTGATTGAGCCGCCCCTACAAATGGCCCCGTATAAATGGCTCCGATTTGTAGGGGCGGCTCAATCACCAGTCCGCCCCTACAAATGCCCCACATATATAACAACATCAGCACCTTCTTCCTCCTCGGGTCACTCCCTCCAACCCATGAAAGAAAGGTGGGGAGGTCTTGGGCACCTCCCAAAAATTGCTCTACTAAGGGGGGAATGTTTTGGTCTCAAATCTTTTAGTGGAGAGGTTGTAGAAGGTAAGAAAATGCTATGCCACACTTTTTTAAGTTTTAATGGTTGGTTAGTGAGTAATTAGAGTTTTGTTTTTCTCTCTCTTCTATGGTGCTTGAGCTACTTATGAAGCAAATTAGACCCAAGTTTTAA